GGACTGTGCAAATTCGCTACTTTGCCATGAACTGTCCAAATTGAATGAAATGCTTTCTTACTTCGCATATAGAATGATTTCTCGCTCCCAAAACCAGCGAGATAATCAGCCGATATATAGAACAGAAGTAACCTCGAAACACACACGTGTGACTGATCTCGGTCACAGAATTCACAGGGGTTTGTAAAAGAAAAAAATAAACAGTAGTAATTAACTAAGTCCTTCATCAACAGCATCGTCATGACAGTAGAAATCCTAGATAGCAAATTGATGATTACTTTTTGCTGAGCGGCATAGGCGAAGTTTAAACTGTATATTCAGTGATGGAAAGAAAAAATTAAAGATGTGGGCAGATCTCAAATGGTTACCCAACAAAGTGCTTCTCAACCTGAATGCTATGGACCTTGGTGAAGAAAGGAATGGTGGAGGAAATGAGAATGAATGTGATGTCTACAACCTTTTAATTGTGGAAACTAATTTCTGCCTCCGTGTCCTCTTGGATATTAAACCCAGATGGCCGAGCAACAGAAAAGGCGAATCAAAGATCATCATTCTTTTAACGTTTCCCAGCAGTGGGGTTATTAGAGTATAAACCATTTGTTTCAAGGGGTGTAATAAGGTTGAGAACCACTAGTCTATGGTGGGTGCGCTTCATTTGACTTGAACTATAGGTATAATTTTCAATTTCTCTAAAGGTAATGACTCTAATGGGCAGTTTGGTTGTCATTTGAGATCCTCAGTCTTTTTCAGTCGCCGGGGAAAGGTACCATATCAGAAAGCTTGCTTTTTAAAACTGTTGTAAATAACTGCGTAGCAAAACAGAACTCAACTGTCTTTTTTAATCATCTTAGATAACAATTCATTGCAATAATGAATATAAAAGAAAATGCCACTACTTGTAATTAAGATCAAATCTTTTTTTATAAATCTACATATTATATATAATACAAATAAATATATATCTATACGTCTATAGAGAGCTATAGAAAACATTGATCACAGATTGTCAGAGGCCATGGCATACATTCTGTTATATGGCTGTTTTTTTGATAACTTGAGAATATTAATATGCCACAGACTTTGTGTGTCCTGCTCAACATTGAATGTCCATCTGGCAGTCACACGGACACATACGTAGAATCGCACGTACACACATTGTTGCATACACAGGGTCAGCTCAGATCACTCCAGCACCGTGAGAGGTTCGGGACATTTTATTTTTGCCTGTCTGTCTGTTTCACCAGTAGTTATTCACTGATTTTCATTGTCTAACAGTGTTTTTACCCCCAAAACCTTCTGTTGGTGAGCCCCTGAGACAGCATGTCGGTGCCAGTATTCAGCATTGGAACTTTTAGGCAGGCCTCTAGAGAGGACGGGCTACTGCGATTACCAAGATGTAGGGAAACAATGCTGTCTGACATTTGGCGAGTGTAGCATTTGTGTTGCATTTTATATCGCCTCAGTGCTTTTTTGTTATTTGTCTTCTCAGTCAGCTTCAAATTGAAATCCAACACTTGTACAAACTGAGCAGGGTTGGCACATTTTGAGGACATGCTTGGATCCATCATGCTTGGCAAGAGCACTCAAGCCTACAAAATGTTTAAAATCTGTTATATAGCATATGGCAGCCTGTTTTGGTGCATCCACCAACTGCCAGCCTAAGGGAGGGGGAATATACATTGCTTTAATATCTGAGGATCAATTAGGAAAAGAAAAAATATATCTTTAATCATACATCAGTGCAGTTTTACTTTTGTAATGCAACTTAGCCTGGTGGTGATGCCTACATAGAGATTGTTTCATAACACAGCTATACTGTGTGTAGGACTGAAATATTGTGTTTTCTGCCCTGCTCACCTCTCCTTTACTTCCTTGTCCTCTTTGTTTTTTTCTACTATTTGTCCAGTGTCCTGCCTCCCATCAAATCATCCTCGTTCCTTCCCTTGTTTTGTCTTTCCCGTACCCTCTCCGGGCTTTTATCTCACACACTGTCCCATTGTAAGACAGAACTCTCTGTACAAAGTGCATCTCAGCAATGACAAATTACTTTATTTTCTGCCCTGACTCACTGCAAAATATTGGGATAGAGAACTCAAGACACCAACTGACAATCTGAGTTTCTTCCGGCTCTTTGTTCTGAACATTGCATACCTTCTACGTCGTAACCTCTAACATCTAACAATAAATAAAAAAAACATTGGAAAAATTCCAACTTCTTTGTTAAACTCACACACATACCTCATCACGCATCAGTATGCATGTATTCAAGTCAAACTCAACAATCAAAAGCATAAATGGAAATGAATACCTTAAAGCCACAGGTATCTCAAACAACAACCCTCTTTATGGCTCATAAGAATTAGGTAGACGGTTTCCATTCACCTCCTCTCAGCCGTGGGGATCAGTTCAGCAGCACTGCAGGAATCCAACATAAGAGAAATACTGAAAATCGTTTCTACAGTGGATACATTTGTGAAGAGACGGTTAACACTGATCTAGCTATCACCGCACCAGGCGGATAAACCGTACATACTGTTCTGTTTATTTTTTTGCCACCTCCAGCACATGCGTAGACAGCAAAAGCAGACTGCTTGGCTGTCAACATTCTGGCTTTAACATTTTTTATTTCTTCCTTTGTTTTATGTCTTACCATTTGGTTTCTTTTTCTAGTAAAACATCAATGCTGAACCTGCTCTCTATGCGTGGTTATTTATCCCCTGATCCTCTTCCTGTTTACGACAACCGGCCTGTGGGCCTCATTTACATCTGAATCATACCGTAGAGGTAATCTCACTCAGCATTTTGGATCGACGTCTTTTCTTTAACTTAGAACTGGTAATAAGACTGGATTAGAAGATATCAAGTTAAGTAATTCATAATGCATACTTATTATCACAGCTACATTTATTAAAGAAAGAAATGACAGCTTATGGACAAGACTAATTTAGTCATCTGTTGTACAATCTTGTTGGTTAAAAGGTGTTGAACAAATAATGTTTTTGACCGGATGATGGTGCTCGATAATAAATCAGAGGATCACCCAAAGGGATGTACAAACATGAATGTGTGCACCAAATATCATGGCACGTCGTCCAATAGTTGTCAAGACATTTCATTCGAAGCCACAAACGTCATCCTGAGGTTGACACTAGAGGAAAGGTCAAGGGATCACCAAAGACAGCGGTATTTGTCATCTGGGGACGACGGATGTCAGTCCAAAATGATGTGCCAATCCATTTTATAGCTGTTCAGATATTTCCATCTGGACCAAAGTGGTGGACTGACAATTTGTCATAAGCTTGAACATTTCCGTTGTAGTTGTGCCCATCGGTGTCTCGACAATTACAACACAGCTATAGTGGGGGATTTAACCTTCAAATCAGAGCTCTGATCAATTACTCAGTGGCTTTGAAATATCCTCGAGAAACAGCTGAAATGTTGAGCCTCACCAGAGTGTCAATGTGTATCTCTTCTGTTTATTTGAAGCCTCGCTGTGTAGGCCTACAGTCTCTGCTGTTGTAGACCAGCTGTTACGGGGTTAAATTCCCTGCTGCGATTTTGTCATCTGGGCTCATTTTTTCAATCTGTGGGGACCCAACACTTCTAATGCAGAGCCATCACTGACAAGTATTTCCCATTATTTCCCATCTCTTTCACACACAGAGACACGAGCATGTACACACACACACACACACACACACACATACACACTCACACACCATGCTGGGTTATTACTGACAAGTATTTCCCATTTACCCAAAGATGAAGCAAAATAACAATTTTGAGGTGGTTCCGCCAACCTTTTAACCTTGCACCCTCACGTGTGAATGCACACACACACCTTCAATCTACCTCTTTTATTGTCACTGTGAAGCGACAGCAGCCTTTTCACCTTTTCATTTGTATTGGCTCATTTCATCTCAGCCTCAGTCTTTCCCTCCCTCAACTCTGCATTACCCCCATCCTGTTCAGCCCCTCCTCATTTCTCGTCTGTTCTCCCCCTCTTTTCCTCTGCTCGTTCTCTTTATCCTCCCACCTCCTGTCATACTTCATCTATCCATTTTCCTGCATTCCTCTCTCTGGGGAATCCATCTCAAACCCTGATTTCTCATTCACGGCCCCTCTCTTACTTTTTCTTTGAGGTGTCTCTCATGATCGGATAGGAAATTGAATTCCACCAACACTGTCAGCACACACAAGCAGCTTGTGGCCATGCTGTTCTGTCCTTGTAGCTGTTGGACAGGTAGACTGCTGAGATGTGCATTTACTAAATTCCGTACACGTTTACCTTTACTGTACAGACTTTATCTGTACAACGAATGAGCACACAACATGTGACTCGACATGGCTGGATTGCTACAAATATCATTTTCTGACTGACTGAACAATAAATCAGACATTTATACATTTTTAATGCTATCCGAAAAGTTTGACTAAAATGTGTTTGATTTAGATTAAAGAGTGAATCAAATGGAACTGATTACAAGTTGATTAAAAACCAAAGGTTTCTTTCACTGTGATTATCGTATCGAATCCCAGTGAAAACTAAATATGTGCTGCTTTGCGGCCAAGTATTCCCTCATCCCGTGATACATATATTTGTTTTTAAATGTAAACTAGGAGTGCAAGTCACCTTCTAATCATCGGCAAATCTCAGAAGAAATGGTAGAGAGGCTGATAGAGAAAGAAATACCACCAATGTGAATCACATCAAGTTTTTGAAGCTCGGTGAAAAAAAAGCAGCATTTCCCCAGGGTGCTTTTTGAAACGGGTCACAGCTTCTTAAATCCAATGCCCAATGGTCGCAACAACATTACCTTACATTACACGATAACAACATTTGGGTTGTGGATTAATCTGAAAGCCTTAAATATATCTTGCCCCTCCACTCTGTGTCAGAATATACAGCTAACATTGCCTAATTTAGAGTGGCTGAAACTGAACATGCTGTACAAAGTCAACCTCGAACCTTCATGCTCTTTTTGTTCCAACTAACATTTTAGAAACAATTTAAAATTGTGTAGCCTGTGCCATTATAATGTCATTCTTTTAAACAGCTTCGCTTTCCAGTTTTGAATAACTTCACACCAATCTCAAACTCCACAAAGTTCACCAAAAATTGTTTAATAACACAGAATGAGAAAAATAAAGTGTTTTTTGAACATTAAAGCATGTAAACATGTTTAAGTAGAGAGCCTTAGCACATTGTTTCCTTTAACTGTCACACGTAGAGCATTTTAACTTGAAACAAAATGATACAGCAAAGGGATTATTTAGTAGCATAACTGTATTTCCCACCAATCTACAGTTAAAGAAAAACCACAGTGAAATGAAAATTGTTCATAATTCTGCAGCAAGTCTGCGACCATAAGATCATCTCTAAGGTCGACATAAACTCTTTTTAAAATCTCAAACCACCTGGGTATACTGAATGTCAGACATGCTCATAATCCATGGGCAGAGACCTTTTATCTGTAGCAAGAGATCTGTATGCTATGAGCAGCTTTTTAGTTCTTATCTTGGTCACCAGTGGAACAGTGAGCCAGAGGACCTTGAGGGCATCTCAGTCGGTGGACAATGTTTCAGTATATTCTTACAGCTTTCTCTGCTCTGCTGAGAATCCTTGATGTTTTTCTTTCATTTTAGATGTAAAGCTCTGAACTGTAATATTGTACAGCCTGATTTGAGTTTCCTAATTTGACTGAATTACCGTAATATTTAAGGTAGGACATAATAAAAGAAGATTTAAGTATTAGTTTAAAAAAAAAAAAACAGTCCCAAAGTATTAAAAAGAAATATTGTGGTATTTTATTCTCCACCTGGCATTTGCTGCCATGTCTCACCACACAGCAGTCCACACAGCAGTCAGTTACGCTTTGAGTTACGCCATGTGTGTGTGTAAGCGTGCATGTTCGTATAAGGATCTGTAGAAGCACAGGTGATTTAAGAGTTTAAAAGAGCTTTCTTACCAGCGTTATTGTCTCTGTTCAATTCTAATTGTATGCCTTCCTTCTGCAGTAAAGTGGTTTCATACCACTATGACACAAATACTATAAACAATTTAAATGTGAAATGCAAAAAAAAAAAATGAACAAGTGTCACTGGTTTACATCATTGTACCAAAATCCTCCAAAAAGTTGACTCTTTAGAGATGCAGGGTTTGTGAAGCACATCAGTGCTCTCAAAGTGATTTCAAACGCTTGTCTCTCCTTATTAGCCTGCATTGATCCAAGGATCCCCCAATTGGCTTCCTGAGGAGCATAAATACAGAGGAGACAAATGTTTCTTTTCTAATTATCTTCTCATTCTCTTTTACCATTATTCTTCAAAGGCAATGCAGAGTACATCAAGGCAAGAGCGAGACCACAGAGGCTGGCTTTCAAAAGCAGTACTTTGGGGCTTGAATGGGTAACACAGATTTTATTAAACTCTGATTATTACAGATTTTGTCTGGAGGTCACATTTCTTTTCCTCAGCAAAAAAATATGAAATAATTTATCAACACAGAGGCACATGGACTTAGTAAGAAATCATAAAAAAAACATTATAAGTACATATATTTGAAGAAAATAATAAAAAGGGCTGATATCAAGTTGCTTGAACAGACAAACATTAAAAAGGGGTTATTCTTTACAAAACCAAATGGGATAGTGGGTTTGATGTGTTGGACAACAGTACCTTCAGTACACACTAGCAAAATATAGTTTCCAGCAGCCAGTAACACTTCACAGTATATTCGTAGCACAACAAAACTGGAGAAAACACAGCATTCAAAAAGAAAATATCATATACATTTTTCTAGCATGCACACCATAACTTCCAGTACCTGCCCATCGCAGATGTTCAGGTTCTTCTCCAAGTCCGCAAATCTTAATGACAAAAACAGTACATCTTAATAGACCTTTTTTTCACAGCAGACATTCTGGCATGTCACAAAAGGAAGAGTAACGGGTGTAAATAATAATCAAATTAATGATGGCTGGATTCCATTCAAGATGCTTCAGTTTCAGGGTCCTGGTATTGCAGCCTGCTCTCACCAAATGCCGTATGAATGACTCGACAATTAGTCGTGTTCGATCATGTAGTGTGCAATAAGAACGCCTTTATGTGTTTCTGCGTGTCATTCGTTCGCCATGTAGTCTGTACTGACTGCAAAGTCAATGTATCCGCTAAACAACGATTGTTTACGTACGTATTGTACTTGGTAGATGTAGTTTTTTTTCAGCCCAACAAGCTGAGCGTTTTCTTAAACCTAAGTGAGACACATGGAAAGCCGTTTCACAAAATGAACCTTATAGTGTATAAATGCCACACGAAAAGTGCTGCATAAATGACATGCAAAAAGACAAAATGCGTACTAGTGACGTGCAGAAATGTTGTATACACATTCCCATGAGATTGGGTTGGGTATTGTGTCACACTTTCACACTGTCATGACTGAACAGTCATTGCAAATGTTATTAGTAACCCCTGTGCAGGCGGCAAACTCCGGTTCTGCCGAATGGAGCCAATGAGTCACACATTTTTAACACAAGCACTTGACAGCAAAACATAAATACCATAAAAATCTCTCTGTACAAGTAACAATACTGTGCTTTTGTTTTTGAATGTTTGAAGCTGACTTATACAAACAAAAACCCATGCAGTAGAAAAAATTGGCACGGATTTGGTGCATGAATGCAGAGTAAGACTCCATGATTCCATTCTTTCATATAGAACATTATAAAACCACAAAGGTAAGGATGCTTTGCATTGATATCCCAGCATTTCATGTTTAATACTGCACGTTTTGTGCATTAGTGTATTTGGATGAGGTGCTAAACATTTCATAAACCAAATATGTTCAAGGCTAACCAGCCAAACAAATCCTAGATTTTATCATCATGGCATCTTTTCTGTCCTAGCACCCATTTTATGAAGGCATCATAAGGCACTGCTTTATCATGTTGGTCATAAATATGCCAGCCCTCTCTCTCAGTCTTCTCCTTGGCCAGATTTCAAGTCAGGAATGATCATTTAAGTGCCTCACACCATTTTTAAGGATGTGTGTGTGAGGAACTTGATAAAGGAACAGCTGCTCGTGCAATTCACATTCTGGGTTGTTTTCAGTATTAGACGTACCCCTGAATCTGGTAAAAAATCTAATCTCCCCCTCTCCCTCTCTCTCAGTGGCTCTGATGATCTTTGTGCAGCTGCATTCTCTCTTTCTCCACTTGGAGGCGTTCTCTCTCAATCTGCAGTCTGCCTGCCTCAAATTTAAAAAACTGCAGCCTCTCTTTCTCCAGCTGTAGTCTCTCCTTCTCTAGTTTTATCCTTTCTGTCTCCAGATCCACCATTGGCTTCCAGGCGGCTTTACTTTTCCTATCTCTCTCCCTCTGTCCATCATGAGTGGAAGATAAAGAAGACGTGGAGGATGAAGGCGGGCCTTGCTGTGGCGGCAGGTAAAAGGAGGAGTCGACCTGCTCTGATTGGCTGATGAGCAGAAGCCTCAGCCTTTCCCTTTCCACCTGTAACCTCTCTCTCTCCAGCTGCAGCCTTTCCCTCTCTACCTCCATCTGACGAAGCCGCTCCTTCTCCACCACCAGTCGCTCTTTCTCCACTGCCAGGCGTTCAGTTTCCACAACCAGGCGATGTTTTTCCAGCTCCAATCGCTGTTTCTCAACAGCAACCAGAAACCCCGACCCCATGTTTTCATGATTGGTTAGTCCACCTAGAGCATGGGCCGCCGTCCCCATCAGGCCACCCGCGAGTGGAAGGCCTCTGTTGGTAGTCGAGGTCGGAGCCTTTGAGGAGCTGAGCATGTCCAAGTCGTTGTGGGAGTAAACATCACCAACATGTCCCTCACCATGAGACTCAATGTCACTGAGGAGGGAGGGAATATCATCTTCATCTAATTCCCCATCTCCCATTTCGCCATCACCATCCAGCTAGAAGGAGAGAGGGAGATTCTTAAAGGGGCACTCCACTAGTTTCACACATGATTTGCAAGTTTTCTTTGGAATTTGACCCACAGAGACAAAAAAATCAAGAGTCTATGCTTCTGCTGCTTTGATTTCCTTTTTCTGTATAAAGAATGTTTGGCAGTTTTTAAATGAATGTCACTGAATACAGATGAGACTCAACACTATTACCCCTTTTACTACTGCAGATTGTCTGGCTGATATTATGAGGAATTTTAACAGACTGGATATAGGTTAATTACGCTGTTAAGAGACAGAGCGGGACATTTTTTAGAGAATGATTGTGGATGATTGTAATACCACAGCTTGAACAGATGATGATTATATCTGTGAACACATCTAAATGCAATTGCAAAAGAAAGTAACATTTACATGTCATGTTCGAATAAATCTCAATTAATTAACACATCCCTTAATTTAATTTGATCTTTACCTTGTGGACCTACATGAGCCCAATCAAAAAGACGGCTTAACGAGAGCCACTTGAACTACAGAATGTGCTGGCATCATCACTGTGCCGTGTTTAACATAACTACCTCTGCTAATAAGGATATTAATTAAGCTAATGAACACATTAAAAACTACTTGCATCTCAAATTCTCTATCACACTCAATATGCAACTTGTCTTAACATGAACACTGTTAATGTGAGCTCTCTATCAAAAAGCATGAAGGTGTTTGAGGAAATCATTTTGTCCTCATTTACATGCTAATTGAATTAATGGACTCTAAGGTTTAATTAGAATATCTAATCTATAGTTATCGTACACGCACAGGCACGACTGAGTTTTTTTTCTTACTCGGTATACACTGACATCGTCCTCCATCTTCACACCCAGCGGTGCCATCATGGCCTGCCCATTCGGTTCCCCGAGAGATGCCAGCTCCGGCCAGTCACAGTGACAGTCCTTCGAGAGGCATGAGAGGTCAAGCAGCTGGTCACACCCAGATCCCAGAGAAGCTGCCTCGTGCTCAGGGGAGAACTGATTGTACTCAGTCTTCAGGGCCACAGAGGAGGAGGAGGAGGAGGAGAGAGAGAGCTCAGCCCGAAGCTGTTTTCTCTTCACCAGTGAACGCCAGTCCAGGTATCGACGCTTCACCTGAACAGGAGATTAGGAAGGAAAGGTCCTGGTGTTTAATAGGTTATATACTGTACTGTATACATGTATACACATTCAAACATAGAAATAAACGCACCTCAGCAGCAGTGCGTAGCTCTCCCTCCCCCAGGGAATTAACACCTTGAGCCACTTCCTCCCATGCCTGTCTCTTCAACTCATTAATGGCTGTGTTCTGTTCACACGCAAAGAGAAGAGACGCAAAACAGACAACAATTGTATTCTAACAATTGTAACATGGCTTTTGTGAAGTTCCTGTCAAAATAACAGAGCTGTCAGTTTTACAAAAAAAAAAGGCTGACACGTCTGTAAAACAAAATGCTCCACTATAGTACAGCCAGGGGATGATTTTATCCTTTTATCATTCTAGATATTTGACATTTCTTTCCACAAATACATAAAGAAAACATTTTTGACAAGGATCCCGTAAATTGGTTAGGAAAAATAAAATGTGTCAGTGCTCTCTGGTGGTGATAACAGAAATACTTCTAAATCATTTCAAATATATTTCGGCCTTTCTGCACTGCACTCATTTTACGTAGCAGCTGACCTACTGTATACGGGACCCGGTTGGTTGGTCTAGGTTTACTCTTTATCTGACTCATAATTGTATATCTGAGTTGTGGCTTGCTTTTTGGATGAGCATGTCAGTTAATTGTGTCAAAGACAAAGTTTTTTGTCAGTAATTATATAAATGACATTAAACAACTGGTTTGAAAGCTATTTTCACATATTTAACAAGAGGTTACAAACGACTTAAAAGAAGTTGCTACTGTATAAGTGATAATTGGTTTGTGCTGCGGTTGATCTGTCCAAGAGAAGAGAAGAAGAAATCTATACCTGCTGTCTGGAGAACAACACGTCCGTCCTCTTGTGGATTTCCCTGATGAGTGTCTGTGTTTCTCTCACACTGTAGTTGCTCTTCCTCTTCCTCTTTAGATGCTTCACCTGCAGGAAATCCAGCTTGGCAGCAAGAAAGGGGACAGAAACCCCAGAGACAGAGAGAGAAAAAGAGACAAGGAGAGACAACTAGGGGAGGGAAGCAAGAAGACAAGGGGAAGAGAGCGGTGTAGGTATGGAGGGAGCAATAGATGAAGAAGAAAATGAGTTAGAAAAGGAAGGGTGAATGGAAACAGGTGTACAAAGAATGATAGATCACAGGTCAGAGTAAAGGGGGGATGTTATTTGTAAAGGTTAGTCCATGTCTAGGAGTGTAGCTTTCCTTCAAAATCACAGTGGTTTTCAATATGGAGGAATCCCTCAGTGGCTTCAGTATTCCCTGTGAAGTTCTCCACCTGGGAGACTGATCCCAGCTGTTACACTAGATACTGGCTCTGTGTAATGGCATGTGAGAGAGAAGTGTGTGAAGTTGCAGAGGTCACAACTGGTTGGCTGAAGGATTAAATCATCAAAAGTCTTCTTTTTTTCCCAGTGGAGGGTTCACGTTTGCCTTGATGAGGCCCTGATTTGATGTATAGCTAATTCCACAGAATATTAAGACTTGCAGCGTGTTCCACCTGTATTCCCTGATCTGCACTGCTGCCAGTTGATTGTACGCAGGTAGAGAAGCATCACAGGCTGAAAGGACTCTGCAGTCTTCCTGTATGCAAATCAGAGAGTAGTTCATATTTTTGAATAAAAAAAGACCTCTCAAGATATTAAAGAAATAGGATTACAATATGAAATACAAGGGCGTAATATACTACAGCATAAATATTAAGTGCAATAAGTTATTCTCTCGCTTTCTTTTGATGAAAAATGCAGACATGTTTGTTATTTGTCTCTTGAATTGGAAAGACCATAAAAGGTATTTTTTAATAAATCGTAAGGGAATAATCTTTTAAGATATTGTATCATGTTACATTTTTAGTAAGGCCTCTTTCATTGACTGATTACCTGTCAATATGAAGAAATGCAGTATTTCATTGTCGCCAATGAAATACTGCTGATGTTTAAATTTTTTCTGCAACACATTAACACACATTGTTATGCGATGTTTACACATTATATTAGGCTACTATAAGCAGACAATATCGACCACATAGGCTTACGTTACTAACATATTAAAATCACAAGTGTAGCCTTGGGAGGTTTATTGTAAGTATATTTGAGATGTGCGTTTCTTCTGTTAGTCTACGCGTAGACAGAATACATACAAGCAGTATGTGTTTCAGGTTATGCCCTCTTGTATCTCCAATATATTTCGAGTTAAAAATAACGTTGTTTTTTTTAGGAACGGTAGGCTATGAGACTGTGGTCTTCGAACCAAACGAGTTTCATCATCATTAACAGAAATGTAACGAAATCGTGTGTGTTGCCGGTCCAACCACCACCTCCAATTAAACATTATCTTTCATATATTGTGAAGACAACTCACCTTACACACAGATGTACCGCAATCAAAACAACATCGTGGAGGTACAATTTAATGGTGCTTTCAGGTACGATTTGCAAATTTAATTTCCTAATATTGAATCAGTAAATAGGACGGTATAAGTGGAAATTGGACAGAAAAATTTGGAAAGGCAAAATAAAACCTTGCATTAAAAGCCTTTTTTCCTTTTTTTTTTATGCAGCACAGCGTTATTTTCACAATTATGTTGCAGAATAGATATTTAATTGATTTTCAAGGATCAGCCCTAGCTGAGAGGTGTTTTTTAAGTAGGAAGATTGAGATACACCAGCTTTACAGTCAATATGCTTCAGATTATCCCATATCTCTCTTTGGTATCAAAAGCTGTCATATTCATTGATACCACAACACGTTTCTTTCGTTTTTACAACATTCCCGAGAGCACCCGAAGGTGTCGTTAGTTGTGTACCGTTTCGATCGATCCTATTGGTCAATTCTTCACCGCGCCCACTTATGACGACATAGATATCTCGCCTCGGCTGTTCCGGGTTGCTCGGCATGTTCACCGCTGTCAGACACAAAACGTGTGACGTTAGTAGTTTTAATAGTTGTCCCCAGTTATGCACTGCACACGGGGCACCACTGTGCAAGTAGTAAAGCATCAGATGTAACGTTCACAGAGTGTTGTTGTCAGTCAAACCTTACGTGCTAACGCGCTATGCTAACGTTAGCTCACTAACAACTAGTTGTGGAAGAGTCCAGATGACCAGACGGAGGTGAGGAGATGGGCTCTGTTCGCTGGGCTTTTCGCTGCGGGTCGTGGACACCGACTAGGTCTGACTGGCTGTTTGCTGCTCGTTGCATTCAGCGGGAGGAGAAAGACAGAATCGGACAGTTTGTGTTTGCTAAGGATGCCAAGTCAGCCATGGTGAGTCTGACTGTAAAAACGTTTGTTTTTGCAACCAACTTGGATCCCTTCCCACTTGTCAAATCTATTTATCCCTGTTTACTCGCTGTGTGGCCCTGTGTTACCTCGTCAGGCTGGCAGGTTGTTGCTGAGGAAATGTGTGTATGAGAGGATGGGGATCCCCTGGTCAGAGATCAGACTGGAGCGATCCCCCAGAGGGAAACCTTACCTGGCAGCACCACTGAAGGTTCATACCATTATTATTTTTATCTGAAGTGTCTCCATAAAGAATAAGAAATAAAGTTCTGTGGGTTTGAACAAAGTTCGGATGCACAGCATGTGTTTAACTAGCTTGCCCCCTAAACTAGCGGAATAAGACTCTCATAGTATTTTAGATGATGAGTCACCAGAACAGACACTTTGCTCAGGTGGATGTGTGCACATTATTACATGCTGCACAGTATGAATATAATTACTTTAGATGTAACTTGGGCACTGGTAATTGTTTTCTTTCCCCCCGCTTTAAAAGCTTTTAGAAGATGTTAAAGTAGTTCTCTGATTGACGTGTTTTTTGTCATGATTGAAAATATCCAGAATTTGAATACTGTCTTGCTGTTGTTGGCATCCAGGTCAGTCCAGATTCAGGTCCTGAACCCCCGGCCTGGAGTTTCAACGTGTCCCACCAGGGGGACTATGCGGTGCTTGCTGCAGAGCAGGGGGTGCAGGTGGGGGTGGATATCATGAAGACCACCATGCCAGGTAAATGCTGAGGGTAACAGTTTAAGCAGCATTAACAATATCAACAGATATGTGCACATACATTGATATCTGAAGAGAAAAAAACAAAAGACAATGAATGATTGTCATGATTGTCTCACTGCTCCCAATAAGCTAGAGATGGGTTAAATGCAGAAGTTACATTTAATGTATGTGTATCTGTATATGACGACTCTAATACAATCTCTATTCCTCACTAACATGACAGATTATATCAGATATAAATGAAACCACACAGTTAGTTGCATATAACACTATATATTATTGTAAATCAGATTCAATTCGGCATAAGTTGCAGCGAACAAAAAAGCTGTGAGGCTCCCGCTGTACTCCGGCACATTAAACAACTAAACATTCACAAACTATAACTGAAACCCTGTGTCCCATCAGTCCCAACGTTCCTTAATTCAACCCAAAACAAAATCAATAACGGGTGGAAGCGTGGCGAGATGCTGCTGTTCCGAAATCCATAGAAGACACGCTATCTCACCACAGTCTGTTTAGCTGCTGGGTCTTCCTTGTAGTAGTCCAGTGAAGGTTTCCTGCTTTATGATCTACAAAGGTTCATTCGGATCCTTTGCTGAGCAGTCGCCGGAAAATCCTACTCTTTCGAGCCCACTAAACGCCGACTGCTTCCCCTGTCTGCCTGCTCCATACTCGCATCTTATACAAGCGAGGACAAATAAAAACAATAGCAACCAAAAAAAGACCCTGTATGATAACCGATATTAACATAGCAGGCCGCTGATATCATTTATAAGTGCAGACAAATCTGTATTAAGATCAGCTGATGTCTTAAAAGCTAGGCAGAAATGGAAATGCTTTTGTATTTTCCAACTTGACCACAAGAGGCCACTGTTGCCTTGTGTATGTAAAAGGTCTAGGCCAAGGCTGTGTGTGTGTGTGTGTGTGTGTGTGTGTGTGTGTGTGTCAGTAAAATCACTTATGTTCAGACATATTTCAGAGAGAGGAAACAGTCCACACTAATCTCAAAACCTGAGTATGTTTGAATAACCCTGCCTTCTTTGTCTGTCCCTTCTGTCTGTGTTTCCATCCTTCTTCCTCTCTCTCCTCTTCCCTTTCTGTGGCCCTCACACTTTTTTTCCTCCCTTTCTCCCTCCTTCCTTCCTTCCCTCCTTTTTCCCCTCCAGGTAGCAGCTCCGTGCCAGAGTTTTTCCGCATCATGACTCGTCATTTTACCGCGTACGAGTGGAGCGTCATCCAATCGGGCGGCTTGGAGCACCAGCAGCTTGCCGCGTTCTACCGCCACTGGGTAACCACGGCAACCGTACTACCCTGTTGTCACTGTGTGTGTGTGTGTGTGTGTGTGTGTGTGTGTGTGTGTGTGTGTGTGTGTGTGTGTGTGGAACATAGAAAGAAATGACATTGACAATATCCTTTGAGACACATTTGCACATACATGTGTGAACTCATACATGTGTGAATGTGCCTCCTCATTTTTCTCCTTTTCTCACATTTTGTCCTTCTCTATCTCTACATTTCATCCTCACAGTCTCACACAATGGTCCTTCCTTTCTTCCTTTCTTTCCCCTTTCTCAGTTTTTGACACACACACAGATGGACAGCAACAGCACAACGGTGGTGCTAAGTATAAAGATGTGGTGAGATTAAGAGGGTGGCACAGAGACGTCAGGCTCTGATATCATCACCACGCTGTTGACTAATGGCAGAGTTCGACGGTTGCCATAGCGATTAGCCTTGTAATACTGTTATTGTGGCTCATTGGCTACCGGGCAGGGTTGGTTTTGGCTGGACACACACAAACACACAGTCACTCTTTTGCATAGATTCCCATCTGTTGTGATTTGAAGTTATTGTGCTACTGAGTCAAAATATATCACACACACACACACACACACACACACACACACACACACACACACACACAAAGAAGCACACCAGACGGACCATCTCTGCCTTGTCAGGCATACAAATGTATTTTTCCTTATGTGCTGGTGATCATTCTCTGCATGTACCTGATTGAGTTTCCTTCCTTTTCCACCAAGGCCTTGAAGGAGAGCTTCATCAAAGCCATCGGCACGGGTCTGGGCTTCAACCTGCAGAGGGTGGAGTTCCACCTGTCATCTGAACCGCTCACACACAAACATGCACTGCGCCAGACCAAGATGCATCTGGACGAGGAAGAAGAAGACGACTGGGTATTTGAAGTAAGTCTGTTCGAAGACGGGTGTGACGAGTAAAGGGGACACAATAGAAAAATCATCTGTTGTCATTTATTTCCCATTTTATTTCCTCTTATCTGCTCTTCTTCTTCTCACCTTCATTCCTCATCCTCTTTGCATTTCCCTTGATGTTGTCTCCTTTATTTCCTCCCTTCCCTTACCTTCTCTCTTTATTTTACTGTTCCCCCTCTCCTCTCTCCCCCCGATGTATTTTTCCTCTCTATTCCCCCTCCCCTCCTCTTCCTCTTTTCTCCATGCCCAGTGGCAGGTGGATTAACAAGTGACTGCTAAAAGGTTACCACTGGTTTAAAAAGCCAGATGTTACGTCTCCTCTCCTTTCTCCATCTCTCTAGAGGTCACGGAGGCTTAATGCTGTTTTAGTGTCCATGTTTTCACACCGGGGACTAAAAGCTCACTTCTGTAGATTGCAGGGCATGCACATGTCCGCTCTTTAACTATAGACTGTAGGGCAAAGTGAAGTACGAAGTATGAAGAGTTGCAAGTCGAAGAGAGAATCAGTGAAGCATAGAGAGAGAGAGAAGTGGATGTTAATATTGTGTTATAAATGTGCACTTTGTCCTTTACAGCTGGTTTATTCCATATTTGTTTAGTATGACTTTTGGTTCGAATGGCCGTCAAGTACATCATCAGCATCGTAACAGATCCATGTTAATACCTACATGCATAAATAAGGCCAAATTAGCTAATTTAGCTCAAACAGTTCGTACATTTATTACTCTGCAACCATTTTGACAAACAAAGAATTGTTTGAGTCACTTATCAAGCAAAAAAAGCCAAACATATGCTGGTACCATAATCCTAATATTTGAGCATTTCCTGCTTATCTGTGTTTGATATAAATGTAAATTGTGCGTCTTCGAGTTTGAGCTGTTGTTTAGGACAAAACAAAGCATGTGAAGACGTTCCCTTTGGCTTTGGACTAAACCTTATTACACTCATCATACACATTCAGGGTATTTGATGTCCGCACCCGCAGAGCTACTTGGGATTCATTGTCTGGCTCAAGGGCCGCCAACCTTCTGGTTAAAGGATGAGCAACTCAGCCAGAGTTTCTCTTTGCTTTGTTTACTTAGCCGGTCCAGCGAGGTAGGTGTGTGTGTGTGTGTGTATGTGTGTGTGTGTTCCACTGGGGGGTTGCAAAATACAATCTCTTACATTAGATGCTTAATCCTGTGAAGTGTAATTACACAAAGGCATGTGCTTCATAATGTGCTGTTGACCTTGTGTTCTCTGTCTCACTGTCGGCTGATTCGCTAGATCAGAGAGCAACTATGAGATTTATTATTTCCTGCTGACCTCAGGTGATGTCACCCCTGCAGCCTTTACACAGGAACTGAGGGAGACACAAGCACACATTGAAGGCAGACTATAACATAATCTGAAACAGCAAAATTACAACAGTTTCACATTTAAATACAGTTCCTTCTGATGTTTCTCTCCCTATCATTGTTCTTTGAGCTTCTGTCTACGTTCCCTTACTCTCTTCCATTTTCCAACTAAACCCCCACTACTCACCACCACCTGTTACTCCCACGGATACACACTCAGCTTTTGGCCTTTAATGTCCAAGTGTATTTCTTCCAGCTACAAAGGCAATTGCATTTGGAGTAGAAGTTATAGACTTTACACAAATTCTAAACAGAAAATATGTTTTTACCATTTTAAAGGCTCAGTAGGTTGGGTATATATATATAGTGTGTGTTGTTTGAAATGTGAGTTGCAATAACATGAAGCATGTTTTCTGTTCAATTAAATCATTTTACATAAGCAAGGTGGGTAGACCGCATCAATCGTGCAGTGGAATGGATTCATCTTAAAGCTAAGCATTGACATGTTTCAGTGAATTCATGTGTGCTTGATGTTTCCTGGTATCAAAGGAATCTCTTAGTGCTTGTGACTGTGTGACCTCTAAACGCAGCAGTTATCTGACTGAAACTTTGCTTACCATCCTTAGAAATCATGCAAACAGATACTAGATATTCACATGCATGTATTCAATAGTTGTAGATGCATGCGGTGTGGATGTCGGTATGAGCGGGTCTGATAAGGTTGCACATATGCATTCTATGTCATGTGGTATTTGAATGAGTGTAGAGTTGTTGTTTTTTTATCATAATATGCAGGCTATACTGTATATGTGCATGTGCTGATGCGTGTGCTGATACATGTGTGTGTCTGCAGGAGAGCTTGCTGGATACTGATCATCATGTTGCTGTAGCACTCGGACCAGCAGACAATGCAGTAAGAACACATAACATTTACAGGCTGCTCTCATTCAGAAGGATTTTTCTCAGGATGCATAATTAAATAAATATAAAAATTGTTCATTTTGATGAATCAATCAGATGATGGATAGACTGTTATAAACAACAACTTTAATTGATCTGAATAAGTTTTACACTATTTATAGAATAAAAATGGCAAACGTGTAGGTTTACTTTTCTCAAATAATGATGTACAACATTTCTCAACCTCATTAAAAAAAACATGTGTTAAAACATAACACATTGGTCTCTAGGAATATGCGATGTGGGAGCATTTTCAGTCATTTTACAGTCTAAATAATGAATAGATCAATGACAAAATATTCACTTAAAAAAACTGAAATGAACCATTAATTGCAGCACTATTACAGACTCTACTCTATCTCACTAATCAAAGACTCTTCTCTCTTACTGTCAGCATCTTCGTCCATCTCTTCCTCCTCCCACCTCATTCACGCTGCTGTCATTCAGAGACCTCATCGCCTCGGCCTCACCTCTGACAGAGGAAGACCCCGCCTGCTGGGACAGCTTCAAGATGAAGGCTGAAGCTCCACAGAGACAAAGAGAAACACATGCGTCCAAATAACCACCTGTCTCATGCTGACACCTACACACACCCCCCCCCCCCCCCCCCCCCCCACACCCGGGGGGGGGGGGGGGGGGGCTTGTGTTGAAAGCTGCTTTCAACACAAGTCCAGTCAAGTCAGGTTTGTCTCTGAGGGCTTCAGAATCCATACGGCATCTGACACCTTCCATCTTTAGATCCTGATGGAAAAAAATAAACCTTCACATGCCTGATACACGCACAAAAACACTGTGCAGTACATCCAAACTTTAAATGTTGATCAATAGATTGATATCCTGTGAAATTGTGTAATTTCAGGGTACACATTGTCCAAGATTCTGCACTGAGCAATTCATTATTACCCTTGTACACTTTTAAAAAAACACATTGATTGAAATAAATCTGTAATACTGTATATAGTGTATCATAATGTAAGATAAGTAAGGCATAATTCACAGATAAATCGACGATTAATGACCATAATTACTTAAGTCTACTCCCGATGTGGATCATATAGATGCAAGGATCAAATCTAGAATTACTCCAAGTAGTGTTGGTGTTCACTTGATGTTGCTCTTAACGAACAAATGTTTCCTCTCAAGGTCTTTTATTCTCTTCTCTCTTTCCTCCAGCAGTTATTGTGACTTCAATGCAGAGCAACTTATAAAGTACCCAATAATTACTGCATGTTGTGTTGGCCATTTTTGATCTTTTCCTTGTGGTGATTTTGCATTAGTTTGCCATACTGGGTTTCTGAAAGACTTTCTTTGTAACCATATCCTTGTGAGTTGTGTGTCTTGCTACACTTCCTCTGTATAACAAAATATATCTGCCTCTCTTGCATTTATTTTCTCCTTCCTTTCTTCCTCATCTCTTTCAGTTTCTCTCTTTCTTTCCTTTTCTCTGTCTCCATCTTGTCTCACCATCTGGTAGCACATCTCTTTCAATCAAGAATATTTAGTCAACCATCGCGTTCTCTCTGCAGTTCATATCTCCATCCTCCCTCTCTCTCTTCAGGACAGCTCGTAGATGTAGTCCGTCTGCATGTTTACCTTCTTTCTGCATCGCCTTACTTTAATCGCAACATATAATCATAAGCCTTCTCTCCTGCACACCTAGAAGGAATTGACATGTTCGAGGCCAAGTGGTATGTACGGGCAGTCGGGAATGCGCCATGTTTGTGACATTACACACTCCACCGTACCTTCCCACAACCTGAGGTGAACAGATACATAAACACAGAGTGGATGCTGCAGACATTTTTCATCATCTCAGCTCTGTTTCACGGCTTAACACGCGACTTAATGTATTATGTAAACTGTTATCCACCAATGTGTCTCTGGCCGCTGGGCAGTGGCTGAGCGGCGTTGATTCATTCAGTGTTTGGCCTGGTTGTTCCTTAGCTGTTTGCTGACAGTCAAGCACACCGTCCAAAACAATAAAAGTGAGCAAACTGTTTTCCCCCACTGTTTCTCTGGCAGCTGAGTGGCGGTGATGCACTCAGCTGTGTTATCACTAGCGGGGGCCGGATAAGAGTAGTGAATGAGGAGTCAACAGTCAATCAATGAGGAGTCAATCAATCAATATCAGTATGAAACAGACAAAGGGTGTTTTGAGAAAGTGTGAGTGACTACAAAGATGAGAGGCCCTTGAACTTTCAACCATTAATGACCCCAATCAGACAGACAACATCCTAAGAGCAGAAAAAGGATATTATTGGCTATTATATTTCTGACAGACAAATATACAATTGCCTGAACTACCATAACCTCACACACACGACCCCGACAGGGCTGTGTGACATGGACATGAGATGTTATGAATGTGTTTTCTGACAACACGACCTCCACTACACCTGCTGCTAATCTTCATGTCGGGTATCCCTCTTTCTTGATTCCTTCCACCTTCAGATGTTCTTCCCATTGGTTGTGTTGGTATTTTCTCACCATTGATTGTGCTTTTGTAATTATGGGAAGTGATGGTATTGTAACCTGCTATGAGGATGGTTTCATGAGGTCCTTTGTTTGTGTTTGTATGTGAGACACAAACAAATATAGACATTGTGTCGGGGGAAAAGTGTAGTCATTCAAGTGGATGTCGTAGAGCATGTGCAAAAAATAGAGCTTGAGAAACACACACGTAGTCATTGCCTCAAGCTGGAGTGAATTTAGCCTCTCCACCATCTTAAATCTTGTGTTCTCTGCAGCAGGGAAGGAGGAGAGAGTGGGCAGCAGGGTCAGACTGGAGTCACACAGGCTTTCCTTAGAGAGAGGCCATTTTTAGTTGCCTCAGGTTTACTAGTGTGTCAGAGAGGATACCTTTTTTTTAAATGCAGGATGGAGACAAGAGTACTTTATGCATCAGACTGAGGATTTATCTTTTTTTAGTTTAATCGGCTAAAATTAAGACGCCAGACAGTAGCAATGTGCTCATTAGCTGAGTAGGTATGCATTATAACTTTATAACCCATGCTCTAGAAATGTCTTTCTGGCAGAGAGATGAGAAGATGGATACCACCGTCATATCCATTGCCTTTAATACTTAATGGACAGGTATGATTCTTCTTGAGCAAGGATGCATATTAGCATTTTTGACCCTGCTTTGGAACATGCTCTGCACAGCTCAATATATGATGAGAAAGTTACAAAACATTTGACACAATCAAAGCACACACTTACACAAAGTAATACCGACACAACCCAATCAGAAACATTAGCGCTTGTGTTCACTTGTTGGCTCGTACTGATTACAGACTCATCCATTATGACTGTCTACTTCATGCTTCAATAATTGGGTATTTGTGTGAGCTCTTGTGCTACGTGTTGTGTGTATATGTGTGTGTTCAAAGTGGGATTGAGGTTTACAGGCAATCACAGAGGATGGAGTTAGAGTAATACGCTTAACCATTGTTTTCCTCTCAGGCTAATAACACCGTGTTTCAAATTGTAAATAACTCTGTGTTGCATACAGTGTTTGTTCATAAAGACATTTTTGTCTGGTTGACAGTGGTGAGGTTGCAATGGAATTTCTTATCCACTTTTGAAATACCAGCAGTTGTATTAATGTCAAGATGTGTTGTTGTTTTCCTGATCAATACATTTGACATACTTTTGTTGTCATTTGATAGTTTATGGACAGGCTCTGTTATCTGGAGTTAACTTGCAGCTCAGAAAATGCATATAATGTCCAAAGACTAATTTACTGTCTGATTGATGTGTTTTTCTATCCTTTGACACCTTCTATCCTTTGGTTTTATTGCAGCCCTGTTGGTCCAAGACTGGTGTGAAGATATTGGGATTGTCACCGCCCAACATGTCACGCTAGCCCACTGACCAATCACGTATGGCTAGGCCAGCTAGAAGCTCTGACACGTCAAAGAATACGCCCAATATGTCAAACTAAAGATCTGATTGGTTGAAGACTATGACAATCAACAATATCGTCCCCATTCACTTAAACTGCAAATGGATTCACGTGAGAGTCTGCAGGCCTGGGGCCTCTCTTCTTACCTAGAGACACATAGGTGAAATCTGATTGGATAAAAGCTCTACTTAAAACAAGCTGCACTGGAAACGGAGCAACTGAGGAAGACAGTAGCTGTGCAATGAGAAAATAAGATAACGGGAAAAAAATATTGTGTATTGTGTATTTATGAAAAATTATTAAATTATAAAATAGCTATAACTTTGTGATTCTCTCTAGGCCAGCAGAGAAGGCCTTGCTGGCCCTGACGGCCCACCACTGTAGTATAGTATGTCGAAAAAAGTCATAATATAGTATTTCCAAAACATTCATTGCACAATCAATGTTGAAAATAGTTATGCGTCAAAAAAGTCTTATCGTATGCCCAAAAAGTCTTAAAAAGTCATAGTTGAAAAAGTCACAGTATTGCATGTCAAAAAAGTTATAGTATATTATGTTATAAATGTCATTGTATGTCATTGCACATAGATTTTATGTGCACTTTTATGTAACTGAAAATATTATGCAGCACATATTTTGCACATTTTCTTCCATGATTTCTTCCAATCTGCTAAGTGGTTGAATTTTGCATTATGCCACACTAAACCTAATAATGCTATTGCTTTCCTTAATCTCGAACCCAATACCTAACCATGAATCTAATCCTTCAACCTGTGAGAACAAATATTCAACATGGAGGATTTGACTTACACACACACCAGTTTCCAGGATCACATTTGCTCACCCATCCCTTACATGTGCAGAACAAGCATCCTTAGGACACACATACACGCATTCACACAACTTAATCACAACCACTGTCGCTGCCCTATTTTCCATATGTAAGTGGGGCACCTACATCCAGCCAGCTGTATTAATGAGAGAGAGAGAGAGAGAGAGTGAGAGTTCCTAGCCATCTGCACAAATGCAATCTACTGCTGCAGGCAGAACTCCAGCATCAGTCACAAGGGCATGATGGAGAGGAGGGGATGGGAGAGAGCAACAAGAGAGTTACTCCAGTTTCCTTGGAGAGAAACCAGAAAGGAAATTGGGGGAAGAAGCAGGAGGGTAAATTGAGGCTACGAAACAAAAGAAAACAAAAGCAAGATCATACAAAAAAGATGAAGAGAGGAAGTAAAAAGGCGATATGGCCAAACTAAACTACTCTCACCACACAGTGATGCCTGTGAGTAGGAATATTATTTTTGATAGAGCCTCTAAAACTGGTGATGTGGAGCATCCTGGTCATGCAGGAATTGCTGGTTTGGAGAGGGGAGATGAAGAGAGAAATTGATGCTGGGGGGGGGGTTGCAATTTATGCAGAATTTAAGGGAGAAAAATTGAAATGACAGTTTGCCTTCAGGGCTTTCTGCCAAGAAACCACTTAGGTTTAGGAAAAGATCATGTCTTGGGTTAAAATAAACCCTTTCTGGCAGAAAGACCTGAATATAAACTTATCCCTTGTGCAATGAAATAAAGAGAAAATTGAAAGTGTGAAAAGAGGAAAAGGACTGAAAAGAAAAGAAATGCACCCAGAGGATACCTCCACCTCAACTTGTTGCCAAGAACAGCAGCAATCCTTACTTTGTTAAGTTAAACATAATTGATTCAGAGCTGGACTTTGAAACAAT